ACATTCACTGCATTTAAAGATTTCCAGAGGAAAAGGTCACCAGAATATAGAGCACATCTCCCATAGTAAATGTCCTTGTCACGCTGCTGGCTGGGTTCAGACAGCAAATACATTGTTATAAAAACCTTGTGTGCTGTGTTATCCACAGCTCAGGGCTGCTGGCTGAATCACAGAATGGTTTGGGTTGGAAGAGACATTAAAAATCATCTCATTCCCACCCCCTGCCATGGGCAGGGACACCATCCACTAGCCTAGGTTACTCCAAGCCCTTGTCCAACCTGGCCTTGGACACTTTCAGGGATGGGGCAACCACAGCTTCTGTGCAGAGCTTCATCACTGTCTGACCAAAGAACTCCTTCCTAATATCTAATCTAAAAGTCCCCCCTGTCAGTGGGAAGCCATTCCTTCTTGTCCTGTCACTCCAGGCTCTTATCCAGAATCCCTCTCCAGCTCTGTTGGAGCCCCTTTAGGCACTGGAAGGTGATCAAAGGTATCCTAGAGCTTTCTCTTCTCCAGGTGGACAGCACTCTCAGCCTGCAGCTCAACCCCATCCCAGGGCCCCTCCAGGGCACTGGTTCTCATGGAAACACAAAAACAGGACCTCAAACTAAGGTACCTCCAAAGCCACTCTCCAGAGCAGAGCCACACACCACCTGCACCACACCGATGTGCTCCTCAGGTGCCACCAGGCTCACGGAAGTAACTGGAGTGGCCACGAAGATTTATTTTCCAAGTGGTTCATACTCCCACCCATGGTATTTCTGGAATCTTTTGTTAAAACAAGAAGAAACCACTGAAATTTTAGATTATAAAAAGAAAAAAAAATTAAATAGGAAAGCTTTTCAACCAATTTCCACAGTGACTTCTATAAACTCAAGATTTATTACAGTGCACACACCCACGTGCCCTCAACACGGAGCAAGGAATGCCCAGACACAGCAAAGCCAACGCAGCAACAGAGCCACTGAAAATGGAACAAAAAATCAAGGTAGCTGAAAATGTTCATGGTCCCTCAACAGGAAGACAACAAAGATGGTAACACAATCTGGAAACACCATAAAGGTGGCTTTGAAGTGTCACTTGTAAAACTATTTGTGTCTTAGGATTCCATAATTTGATGAATTGATTGCATTTGGGATTTTTTTATGGTTATGCTTTTATTCCCTATTCTCATGGTGGGTTACCATCTCTCTCCCACTTTACTGCCGGGCTTAGATCAGTTTTTGCATGCAAGCAGAGCAGGACAGATCCCTCAGCCACATCTTAAAGCCAGAGGTTTAGACTCTCCAGAGAAGAAGAGTTCAAATCCATTCTTCACCCACATCAATTCCAAGAGGAGATCTTTACAGCCCTTTTATTTATTATTTACCACTCTAACACAATGTTTTAGCTCACCAACAGAACTAAAAAAAACCAGTTATTTAATTTCCATAGACTTGACTTCATTAACTTCTGGACAGGACTAATGTTTGTGGCCAGTGGGAAAGAGTATTTCTACATTTTTCCATTTTCTGGTCTGTTAATTACAATTACTGAGAGAAGGAGACAGCGGTGAGATTTGTGAAACACAGCAGGCTGCGTTTTAATACTTTTGAAAAAAACGAGAGAAAATAATTTCTCTCTCTTCTTTGTATAACCCAATCACACAAAGTAATTCCACATACTTCAGAAGTCAGCATCACAATTTTCCTTAGACACGCACTTGGGCCAGCAGGAATTTAGTTGGAGAACCTCAGATTCGATTAGAAGGGATTACTTTTCAGTGAGATGACAGGAACAGAAAACATGAAACGATGGAAGTGGGGTAGAGAGACAGGCAGATACCCTCCTGAGGCTGGCAGCAAGTTGCAGGAATACTCCTCCAAGCTTCTGAGGCAGAGATGGGCAGGGGTCCGATAGTTTTTGAGGATGGATGAGTGAGAAAAACCCAAATTACACTACTTGGCTAAGGTGGAGGTCAGTAAAAGTACATCTACACCTCTTAGATGCTGTAGGGAGCCCAGAAATCGTGTCTGCTGTTTGTAATGCATGTCAACAATTACACAGAGTTCTCCAAACCCTACCTCAGCCCCTCCAATGCCACCAAGTCAACTGAGATTCCACCATCCCAAAAAAACACTGAGTTTCAGAGACACCACAGCTGACTCGTGACACTTGGTGGGAGAAACACAATGGGGAGAAAGAGCTTCCAGCTCAAACCAGAGAGGGACAACCACGAGTGCCAGCAGCAGGGCTGAGGACACGGGACCCCAGGACACGTGCAGCGCGTTTGTGGTGTTCCAGCCGCACGCTCCAGCGTTTCAGGGGAGCGTGGCACAAAGAGGAACAGCTCCAGAGCTGCTGTTCCACGGAGCCAAAGGATGGAGAGGGATAAATGACCACAGCACCCAGCATTTTTAGCATTTAAAGACCTCTACACCCCCTTCCACGCGCAGCTTAGCCAAAATACCAGCTGGATGCTGCTCCAAACCCAAAGAAGTCCAGGTAAACGTTTGATCAGCCACACAATGATTTGGATCTAGGCACTGAGTCAGACCCAAACCTGTTGGATTTCTTGCCAGCTCAGTAGTCATTCAAACAGGCTTCCTAGTGTGGCTACCCACTCCACAACAGTGGCACGAGGGAAAGGCAGTGCTGGTTTTTTTTACAGGCAAAGCCAGCTGAAACCACAGAGCTTACTACTCCCTAAAAAACGCAGTACATCTGTTCCACAGCAGTGCCATAAAAGCATAGAAGATTAGTAAGTGCTGGCCTAACAATCTGGAAAGGGAAAAGGACCTAGGAGAGCAAAATGTTATCACTAAGTCAATAAAACAACATCTGTAAAGGACTGAGAACATACCAGCATTCTTGCACAACACAGAGAAATGCTCCTGGGCTGACTTCTTGGTCTCCACTAAACCTGTCTGGTGACTCTGGGAACAGGACTGCATCATACAGGCTACGGGAAAAGTGGATCAACAGGGTGAGCTAAGGACAGGGCTCTGGGCTCGACTTTGTGCAGGATCACAGAGTGGACACGTGTTAGGCGATATATATGGTTTCACTTTTATATAAAGCTTGTGTTTACATCTAATATATCAGGCAATTACAGCCGGTCCCGGCACCAGGTTTGAGACAGCAGGTCTATAATCCACGGAAAGCACTTTGTGGGATGAGCAGAGCAAGGATGCAGCAGAGCAGCTCTGTGTATGGGGCTGAGAATGTAAACAAAAGCTTTGTTTTGAGTTTCCGTAACTGACAATTGGCTCTGTGCATTTACTACCCGGCATTCGGAACTAATCCCTCATCTACCACACCGATCTCAAAGAGGGAGCAATTCCGCACAAGTCGACGGATTCGACTGAAAACGCCGGTGCGAGCCGCCAAGCCCCCGGTATTGTAACAGCTTTGTATAAACACGAAAACAGCAGAAACACAAACAAGCCGGGAGTGAGCCCTCGCCGCTCGTCATTCGCATCCCCAGCACGGTGACTTCCCCACTTAACCTCTCCTCCCGGTGTCATCACCGGGAACGCCGAGGCGGGGAATGCGGAGGCACGCGCGGACTCGTGTCACATGAGAGATTCACCGACATCAACACAGGGGAGGGGGAAAAAAACCACCCAAACCGCCCCAAAATCCCAGCACAACCATGCACGTTCTCCCTTAGCCGAGAGAGCGATCCTTTCTCCCACGGTCCCCATTAAAAGCGGCAGGGATGACACCTGCTCTGCACCTGGGCTGGGGTGTCAAGGGGCGGAGGAACGAGGGTCAGCAAATCCCTGGGGTGGTTTGGGGTGAAGGTCCCCTGCAGCAGTTTGGGAAGGTGAGATTGTGGGATGGGGCACGGGGAATGGCTCCTCAGGGCGGTGTGTGGGATGGGGCACAGGGCTGGCTGGCTCCTCCGGGGTCATGTGTGGGATGGGGCACCGAGCTGAACCCCTGAGGATGGGGTTTGGGATGGGGCACCGGGCTGACCCCTGAGGATGGTGTTTGGGATGGGGCACCGAGCTGAACGCCTGAGGATGGGGTTTGAGATGGGGCACAGGGCTAAACCCTGAAGGTGTTGCTTGGGATGGAGCAAAGGGGTGAACCCTCAGGGTGGTGTTTGGGATGGGGCACAGGGCTGAACCCTCAGGGTGGTGTTTGGGATGGAGCAAAGGGGTGAACCCTCAGGGTGGTGTTTCGGATGGGGCACAGCGCTGAACCCTTGAGGATGGTGTGAACCCTCAGGATGGTGTTTGGGATGGGGCACAGGGCTGAACCCTCAGGATGGTGTTTGCGATGGGGCACAGGGCTGAACCCTCAGGGTGGCGTTTGGGATGGGGCACAGGGCTGAACCCTCAGGGTGGCGTTTGGGATGGGGCACCGGGAACGGCCCCTCGGGCAGGTGTGTGGGACGGGGCACCGGGAACGACCCCTAGAGCGGCTCGGCGAGCTGGGCGTGTGGGACGGGTCCCGGCTCTGTGCCCCCAGACAAAGCCCCCCGCCCTCTCCCCGCCGCTGCCCGGGCGCTCTGTGCGGGGACGGAGCCGGGCAGCCCCGCCGAGGCGACACCGGCCCTCCCGCCGCAGGTGCGGGCTGAGGGGGCCGAGGGGACCCTGCGAGGGGACGCTCCGAGGGGACCGGGGCCGCCGCCCGCCGCGTACCTCTCTGTGCGGTGCCGGAAGGGACTGTCGGGGTCGGGGCGCCCGCCCGGCTCTCGCCTCGCTGCCTCCCGCGGCTGAGCGGCTCCCGGCGCGGCTGAGCGGCGGCTGCGGGCACTGCGGGCCGAGAACCAGCGCCGGCCTGTTTTCCAGCCGCCTCCCCTGCGGCCCGCCCCGGCTCCGCCTCGAGCATCCCCCGCCTCCGCCTCCTCCTCCTTCCCCTTCTCCGCCTCCGCCTCCTGCGCCGCCTCCTCCGCCCCGCTCCTGGTCTAGAGCAACTTGAACGTGAAACTCTAAGGATGTCAGCGGCTGTTTGGTGAAGCAAGCGTGTTAAACCTAATTTTCTTCCTAAGCGAGACGGGTCTTTTTCACCTTTTGCGATTGCCGCTGTACTTCAAGGCTGCTTTGATACCCCTGCTCCGGGGCGTTCACCGAACTACAGAGCGGACCCAGTGTGGAAAATAGCTTCATTCCTGCACGAGTTTTTTCCTATTCCTGTCCAGACAATGCAATTAATCTCATCGGAGTCCACCTCGCAATTAAAGCCCAGCCTGTGGTCCAGAAAAACACAGCCCTCCAAAGTCCTACCCGAACACCGTCACAATTTCTTATCTCTCACCATCTGGTTTCTGCCATGCACTGATATCAGTGTTCACCCAGTTGCACGGGGCAGTGTGATATACCGAAAAAAAAAAAAAAAAGAGTTATAGAAAATCAAAAATAGGCATAGCTTTAAACTTTTTTTCAGCTTGAAGACCCCTAAAAGCTAGCAAAGGACCTTCTCCAACATATACATACATATATATACACACACACTATAACATATAATGTATATGCAATGTAATTATGTGTATACATAATATATATATATGTACTACATATAATACACATTTATATATAAATTTATAAAAAATAAACATTTTGTATGTATCTATATATATTTTATATATACATACATATACATACTAAATGTATATTGGACACCCCATCTCTGGAAATGTTCAAGATCAGTTTGGACAAAGCTCTGAGCAACCTGTTCTAGTGGAAGGTGTCCCTGCCTATGGCAGGGGGTTGGAACAAGATTATCCTCAAGGTCCTTTCCAACACAAATCATTCTATGATCTTCTATTTTATTATTACAGTTGTTATTACAATTGTAAATAAAATTACAAGTTCTCCTTGATTTTGGGGATACTTCATTTTCTCTGCCCCAAATCTCTCAACCAAGTTTCTCGGTTCCCCAGGGAATGGGCACAGCCCCAGGGCTGCCAGAGCTCCAGGAGAGTTTGGACAACACTCCCAGGAGCAGGATAGGATTGCTGGGGTTGCCATGTGCCAGAGGGGCCAGAAATTGGAGTGGTCAGTCCTTGTGGGTCCCTTCCAACTCAGAATATTCTGTGATTCCATGGCTACACACTGTTTGGGATGTGGTTTGTGAGCCTCCACCCAGGAGCCAGCCTGTGCCTGGTGGTGGGCTCTGCCCTCCCACACCTGCCTCACAGCCCCAGCACTGGGTGTCCACCAAGCCTACAGAGGGACACAGAGCTTTGCAAATTAAAGGACTTCAGGGAAATGATCCATATCCCTGTTCTAACCAGCTCTATCTGGAAAGAGAGGAATTGGCAACGATGCTGGAAAGAGCAGCCTTTCCCACCAGACCGGACAAAGTCAGAGGTGATAAGGAAATAGGGACAGTTTGATGGTCCAGCCTGGAGATCCTTATCTGCAGAGGATAGAAGGGAAGCCAGGATTTCCTGCCTGGAGTCCTCAGCATCTCACAGAGCAACACCTGTCCCTCAGGGCTGCCCCAAATCCAGGCCGTGTTTGTTCGTAGGCAAAGAGGACACAAAGGACAGACTGGTGTCCCCTGTACCCACAGAAAAGCTGAACCATGAGGGATGCTTGTCATCCAGCAGCTGGGAAAGCTGGGGAGCCAATTCCTACTGAATGGCACTTCTATTTCCTCCACAGCAAATAAACAACTGTGCTGCAGGGCTGCACCAGCTCTGAGCTCGCCTGGCTGCAATGCGAAGGATTTGAACTAAATCTAGCAAGCTCTGGGTATTAGGAGTCCCCTGGGCTCTACCCTCTTTCTCCAGTTTAGATTTGGCAACAGAGTCAGCCCTAAACCCGAGGAATGCTTGTGAGGCATTTTAAGGGTAGACAGAAATGCAATTACCTGTGGGAAAATAAAGCTAAAATACCTTGCAAACCTATGTTTAATGCAGTGTTCGATGCAGCAAGGAAGAGTAATTGACAGATGGGACTGGGGCTGGTGCCTTTTGCAGACAGTAGTCCCAAGGAAATCTGATGAAATCTTAAAATCAGCATTTTTTTATGCCTTTGACATTTGTTTTCTATAAGCAGACTGCACAGTGAATAAAGCACCTTTCCTGGGAAGCACTCTTGAAGGACAGGTTTATGACTGAAATGTAAAGCAAATGGTAAAAGTCTGGAGAGCTTTACCTATAAAAACAGGGAGGATAAAGACCTTGTGCAGCACACCTGAAAAGATTGCCCAGAGCTGCAATCCAGAGATGTAATCAATGTGAAGAACGAAAATTGAAGGAAGGGTTTTTTGCACCACAGAATGGACAGAAATAGCTCAGGTCTCATGTCCTTCCACACACACCTTCAGATGGGGAAGGAATTCCAGAAAACAAATCAGGAGAGCTCATGGTGGGCACATGGAGGGCGAGAGGGTACCTGGGCACTCTGTGAAGTTGTATTTTTAGGTTTGGGCAGGTTTGAAGTCTGGCCAAGGAGGTCTATTGGATTGACTGATGCTGCTATATTTTTTTTTTTATTTTCTGCCAAGCAAAATAATGACTTAAAGCCATTAAGTGATTGTTCTCTAGATTCCTATTGACCAACATAATGCCCCATTCCTAGAACTGTCAGGTGAGATGAGCATTAAGCCTGGCATGAAGTTTTTTTAGAAAAATAAGGATCCAGCTGGCTGAAAAAGAAAGCAGGAGTAGCAGGTAAAAACAAGCAGCTCAGAGTATCCCTCTGTGCTCCAAAGCACCACATTCCTGATGTTTGGCAGAAAAATGTTTTGCGTTACTGTTGTTGCACAGCATTTTTCATCGTCATATTAAAAAATGTTGGGAAAAGTGCTGTTATTTACTTGAAATCAGGAATCTCAATACAAAGACCCCCAACATGAGCCACAGGCTGTGCTGTGCTTCAGAGGTTGCCCACTCTTGCCAAGATTTGGCTTTGGCATTAGGAGTGTGTCTGCAGTGAAAAGGCCTCATGAGTTTGGGTCAAGTTTTTGGGGAATCCCACTCAGACACTGACATCTGGCAGGACCCTCATGAAGTTAAAATATAACTTGAACAGAAAATATGTAAATCAGAAAAGGGGTTTCCAGTTTTGTAAGCCAGGAATTATTATCCTAAGGATACCTGGGTACTGATTTTGGCTCCTGCTCTGGGCAGGGTGACACACAGTTATGGGTTCTATTTTTAGCACCTTAAAACGATCCCAGAACGAGAGAGATTTATATTTACTAATCCTAAAAATCCTATCTTCTAACAACTTCTCTTTTCCTAAAGGTAACCTTTCAAAAACTAACCTGAAAAAATTTATAAAATGGATTCTTTCCCAATTTCCAGATACTAACACACACACTATCACTTTAGACTCCTTTTGGGATACTATTGGGACCACGATATATAAGTTTCAAACTAACCAAGATTTTTCTGTAACTCGGTTTATCCCTATATTCCACATTATAACTAAAGCCGTAGAAAAAACTAACAAAAAAGTCGTAACTTCAGTGACACCCTCTTTATTCAAAAATAGATATCTATGAGACATTTCAGAATATACTGCTGTCAAATGGCAGCCTATATGTCTAAATTAATTCCTAAGTCAATTAATATACAGATTTAAGCTTTTGTTAAAAAAGACACACTGTGGGTAAATCTGTTTAACCTTCAGAAAATGTCACCCAGTTCACCAGATGCCCTTTGCCCAAAAAGTAAAACAAATAAAATTAAAAACTACAAGACTTCATTTAAATTAAGCAAAATAAAACACACGCATATATTCAGAAAAAAAAATCAAAACATTTCAATTAAAAAATAAAAAAACCAGACACACAGTGACAAAGCTGCTTGTGTTTCCCTAAGCAGGACACCACGTACAGTCTGAAAAATTACCTGCGTTAAATAACTACAGCAACTCCAAACAAGCCCAGCTGGCTTTTCCATCCTCTGCACTGTTTGTTTACTAGAGAAAGACTAATCCCTTTTACCTGCAAAGCAAACTTACCATGAAGGCCCACACAGAATGCTTTATTATCTTTCCATCCGTCCATAATACAGAATTTCCATGATTCATTCACCCACTTGAGGAACACTTGAGCGCTCAAACAAAAACATACGTTCCCAGGAGAAAAAAAAAAGCCAAACCCACGTCCGGTGCAGGAGACAGAAACATTCTAACATAAATACAAAATCCCACCAGAAATTTTATCTGAAGCAAGGCTGTAGCTCACAAGCACAACAAGGAAACACAGAGATCAAACAGTATTGCATCTTGTGGGTGTTTTCCCCCTTTTCCTCACAATCCCCTGACAATAAGTCAATTAAAGGTTTTACCAAGACTACAAAGGGAACCTGAAAGCCCAGCAGCCTCCCTTGGAAAGCAAATTCAGGCTACAGACAGTTTCAAAAGTCACTTCAGAGAGTCTGCCCTTTGCTAAAAAAGTCTTTGTGACCTTCCAGTCATCCCAGTGTAGCTGCAGCAGTTCATGGGAATGAGTAACAATGACCTTTGCTATTTGACAGGCTGTCCAAGTGACAGGGAGCTCTCTCATAAATATTTCCCCTTGATGATGATGATGAACAATCTGGACACAGAACAACCACCCAGCTCACCTTTGTGGTTAAAAATAAAACTAGACCAGGTGAGAAGGAGAAATTCCTCTCCCATGTTTGTTCATCCTTATTCCATTCTAGGAAGGCAATTTCTGGAATGAGACTGCTCAAGCAGTAATTTCTTCTTCCTGAGAGCTACAGGATTTGACACTTTCCTACATGGATTTCTGGAAGGATATAGCTGCTGAGTAAAGTATCCAATCTCAACAATATGAAATAAAAAATCCATGTGTGGAAGATCCTTTGCAATCCTCAATAAATTGGGGTAGCAAGCACACATCCCAAAAACTTGAAATGTGCTGCTTTTTCTGGCTTCTATCTGTCAAGCTTCAAGTCCCAATTACTTATTCTTGCCACAAATTTCTCTCTGCTAAATTTAAAAATCCTTCACGATTCCATTTCTGTGAGTTCTTGTACCTAAAGTGCCCTTTTGGTTTCATTTGGGTGAGGAAAATTAGAAATGCTTTCCCTGGAGCACAGGCACAGCAGATGAAAAGGTGGCACTATCTTCTCCACACACCTGTGTGCTGGCCAGGGAACAACCTGAGTCTCCACAAGTGGGAGAACAGGATTCACCACTCTCAGCTCCCAGTTATTTTCTGCCAGGGACTTTGTGGGGTAGACATTGTTCCCCTGTTTTTAATAACCTTCTTTGGATT